CCAGTGGTCAGGCTCTGAAGGTTGGGGTTTGGGCCAGCTGGGCAGGTGCAGGCTGCAGCCCCGGGCAAGTAGTGGGGCTCTGTGTGTCTCAGTTTCCTCTCCCGAAAGAACGGCCGAGCCAGTCGGCCCTGGGGTTATCCGAGGGAGGCCCTGAGCAACTGCAGAGCTGCCCTCAGCATGCCGGCCCACAGGCGTGTGCTCCGCTCAGAGCCGGGCTCCACTCAGCTCTACCTCGCGGACAGGAAAGCAGAGGTGGGAGCAGCTGCCCAAAGTCACGGAGCAGGGCCCACGCCGAGCGTCCCAGTGGGCCAAGGCATCACGCCAGCCCAGCCCCTGCGGCCCATGCCCAGTCTGCCCTCTCCAGCGGGGTCTCAGAAGGCCCCAGGCCTGTCTTTCCTTCCACCAGGGGGACCCCGCAGCACCTCCCCGCCCCGGGAAGCCATGGACAGGCTGAGCATCCTGTCACGGGGAGCCCCGCACCGCCAAGCAGGAGGGTGCAGGAGCCAGTGCACTGGGTGCGCTGTGCCCTCCAACCACCCCACTGCAGGGCTCATCGCGCTATCTGCACCGCGCGCACAAACACGGTAGCCTCTGGTGTTCCCACCGCTATCCGAGACCCTCCCCTGGCCCACGAGCCCCTCCCAGTGGCTTGGCCACTGCCCTCGAGTGGGGGACCCTGGGAGGCCCTGGTGGGCTGGGGCCTCCCTCTTAGAAGCGCCACCATACATGGGCCTGTCTGTCAGTATCTAAACTGCAGATTGCAGAGGAACCTTCCGGAACCCCCTCCGTGTGGGAAGGCCTAGTCCCCTAGGGACTGCGTTTGGGACCACCCGCCCTCCAGGCTCAGGCAAAAGACGACCTGTATTGCCCTGGGGCCTCAGCGACAGAGGGGGCCGGGCCGTGGGCAGGGGCACTGGCCGGCTGACGCAGGGATCACCCTGAACCGGTCAGCCGCAGACCCCAGCCCCTCCCAGGCTCCAGGTAGTCTCCGCTAGAGTCTGGGCCACCCCAGAAGACACCGGCCCTCGGTGTTTACTAAGGATCTGCTGCCCACAACGCCAGCGGTACCGACTTTCCACAAACAGGGCCAGAGGCAGCACAGGAAGCCAAGGGCAACCAGACGCCACGGGGGCCCCCTCGGCAGCTCCCGCCTTAAAGACACAAGACCCAGACTCCCGCTCCGACCCGCCCCATCCCAGGAGTGCCCGGACGATGGGACCAGTGCTGGCTCTCAGGAGACCCCGGAGCCAGCCCCACTCACCTGCGCTCGGCGGCGCCTCCCTCCCGGCTGATCTGGCGGCAGCAGACACAACTTCCTCCTGCTGTTTTCGCAACATGGGTCCCCAAACGGAGGTGCATTTCCGCACTGCCGCCCGCCCAGCTCGCTGGTTCTCCAGCCACCGGTCTTGCAAAAATGCAGCCCAAACCAGCCAGGCGCAGTCTGAGGCCCAGGTCCCACCGCCTGTGGCCGTTTAAAGTTTAACCAGCCGCTCCGGCCCTGAGGGGTCCTGGGCGTGGAGGTCGCAGCCCTCCTGCCTCTACCTCTGTGGGCTTTTCTGAGCAGAACTGAGGGCCACTCGGACCCTCAGAGAGGGGCGTCTGAGGAGGTCCAGCAGGCCACACACATAGCAGCCTGGGCCCAGGCCCTGCTCTGGGACACAGGTGCAACCCCTCCAGGGACCTGAAGACCCAGGTGGGGACAAGCTCCGTCTGGCCCAGCCAGCGGCCCCCACCACTGAGGGCCCAGAGCTGCTCCCCTGCCCCCAGCAGGTGGCAAAGGATGAGTGTGTGACCTGCACACGTCACTGGGCCCCAGTCCTTCCTCCATAAAGTGAAGAGAACAGGGGACTTGCTGTGGGCGTCTGTGAGGAACAAGAGCCTGGCCTGTGGCAGGTGGGCCATCTGGATGCTTCCTGCCCAGGCTGGAAAGGACAGCACCTCCTCTATTCCCCAGCACAGCCCTTCCCCACTGACACCCCTGAGCCTGGAGACCAGCAGCAGGGCCCCGTCAGGGCCTGGGACCCAGGCCAGGTCCCCACTGTACAGAAACGAACTGAGAAAGCAGAGATGAATGCCGGCCACACAGCAGCAGGCCAGGTGTAAGGACCCAAACGGTGAGGGTCCGGGCAGGGGACAGACAAGAAGTAGGCCAGGCAGGGCAGGGCTGGAAGGCAGAACTGGGGTCCAGAGTCCTCCCATCTTGGGGGGTATCTCCACCATGAGGCAGCCACCCTCAAGGTGGCCCGTGATGGTCATCTCCTGGTGACCCTGAGCCTGTGTGGCCACACCCACCCTGAATAGGGCTGATCCAGTCCCGTAGCCAATAGGACTCCGTGGCAATGACGGGGTGACTTCCAAAGCCAGGTCACATACCACATGCAGTTTCTGCCTTCTCTCCTGGGTCACTTGCTCCAGGGGGCCCACTGCCACGTCCTGAGGATGCCCAGGCAGCGCTATGGGAGCCGCGGGTGGGGAGGGGCTGGGCACCCTGCCAATAGCGGCACCAACTTCCTGCGAGGGAGCAAATGACTTAGAAGTGGGTACAAAACTAACTGAGTTAAGTGTTTACTGTCATTGTAAGCCACTAAGTTCTGGGTAGTTTGTTACACAGTGATAGATAGGTGACATAAGACCGTTATCAAGAAGAAGGGCAAGGGGCGACCTGGAGGTCAAGGGGTCAGCCCCCAGTAGAGCCACGGCCACAGGGCATCAATGGGCACGTTACCATTTCTCTATCCAATTACTTAATTAATGACCCAATGGTCCAAACCGAGTGGTCAACCCTGCAGGGCTCCCTAGTGACAACAGTGAAGACCCGTGCTGTGCGGTTCACTTCCCATGACCCCAAATAACTTCAGGGGTTAGAGGCTCTTCAGGGGAGGACCGCGTGCCTGCTGTCCACCACCCCCTCTCCTGTCCTCTGGGGGCTGCTCGCTCCTCCCCCAGACAGCTCTCTGCACAGGGGGCAGCTCTGATGGGGAGGGGTCTTCCCAGGGCCCTGGCTCTGCCCCAGGGACCCCAGCCCCACCTGCTGGGCCAGCTGGCAATGACCTGGGGGCAGCCCATCTGCAGAAGGCAGAGGAACCCTGGAGGCCGGGCACTCAGAGGGATGGAGCTCCAGGCTGGCTGAGAGGAAGCAGCCCCAGGACGCTGAACTGGGCAGCGCCTGCATCCCGAGAGAGCCTCACGCCCAGTGCCTGCCCCTGGAAGAGGAGGGCGTGGGGCATCTCTTGGGATCAGGGACTGGCCGGTGAGGAGCCCAGGAAGGTCCACACAAGGGGCAGTGGACAGCATGGGGACAGAGTTGTGGGGCCAAGTCCAGGGTTCAGAGAGTCCACAGACCGCAGGCGCATTTCCTGTCCAGCCCTGGCTCAAGCTCTCTCCGTGAGCACGTACACCCCGCCATGTGCCAGCTCTGCAGACACCAAGGTCATCGTGACGACACGTATGGAGTTCCCAGCCCACTGCCCACCACCACATCAGCCCTTCCAGTACCATCTGCTCTTGTCCTCACGAGAAAGTCACGAATTGGCACAGGTCCCCGCTCCACAGATGAAGGATGGAGTCTCATGCCACAAACCATACCGCTCATGGAGAGCGAGAATGTAAGGCCCGCCCTCTGAGGGCTGCTCAGAAGCTGGAGGAGACAGACCGGCAAACAGGCCCAGCTACAGTGCCAGGTGCAAGGCCGTGGATGAGAAGGGCATGTGCATGCGTGTGCAGGTGTGTGTGTGCGTGTGCATCTCATGCACAGATGCACACACAGTAGAGACGTCATTTTGAATCAGTGTGGAAAGGATGGACCACTCAGCAAGTATGGAGAGGGATAAAACGGGGTTGCTGCCTGTCACCATACATGAAAATATCCTCCAGATGAATAAAGGACCAAATATGAGAAGCAAGAACACTTAAAACCTCCAGAACAAAATATGTAGACATGTCCTTAGGACTTCAGGTAAGAAGAATTTTTAAGGCATAAACCATAAAGGAAAAAGATCAATGCATTTGACATGAAAGTTTAGACTGTCTACTCAACAAAAAAAATTTCAAAACTAAGATAGAAAAGAAACAACCCACCAATTGGGAAAAAATATTTGCAAGTCATATATCCGACAAAGGGTTAATCTCCATACTATATAAAGAACTCACACAACTTAACAACAAAAAATCAAACAACTCGATCAAAATATGGGCGGGGGGGGGGGGACACGAACAGACATTTCTCCAAAGAAGATACATGGATGGCCAATAGACACATGAAAAGATGCTCATCATTACTGATCATCAGGGAAATGCAAATCAAAACTACACTAAGATATCACCTTACACCAGTTAGAATGGCAAAAATATCCAAAACAAAAAGTAACAAATGTTGGAGAGGTTGTGGAGAAAAAGGAACCCTCATACACTGTTGGTGGGAATGCAAACTGGTGCAGCCACTATGGAAAACAGTATGGAGATTTCTCAAAAGATTAAAAATAGAAATACCATATGACCCATCCCACTACTGGGTATGTATCCAAAGAGCTTGAAACCAGCAATTCCAAAAGTCCCATGCACCCCTATGTTCATTGCAGCAGTATTTACAATAGTCAAGATGTGGAAGCAACCCAAGTGCCCATCAATTGATGATTGGATAAAGAAGATATGGTATATACATACACAATGGAATACCACTCAGCCATAAAAAAGGATAAAATCGTCCCATTCAGAACAACATGGATGGACCTTGAGGGAATTGTGTTAAGTGAAATAAGCCAGATAGAGAAGGACAATGTCTGTATGACTCCACTCATAGGTGGAAGTTAAACATGTGGACAAAGAGAACAGATTAGTGGTTACCAGGGGAAAGGGGGGGTGCAGGGTGGGCACAAAGGGTGAAGGGGTGCACCTACAACATGACTAACAATAATGGACAACTGAAATTTCACAAGATTGTAAACTATCATAATCTCAATAAAAAGTTAAAAAGAAAGTCGTGACTGAATACTATTTTAACAAAAAATTATGACTTAAAAACTGAGGAGCTGAGGGTGTAAGAGAACTGAATCTTCATCTTGATGGTAGGAAATCAGTGGATGGTGTTAAAAATTGAAATAATCAAGAAAGAGAAACGTGGAGTTAAATACTAGAAGACAAAGTTAAGAGAAAAAAGTGATGGCTTCCGGGGAATGAAAACTAAAGTTGAGATGGGCTAGGAAGGGCCAATTTTTACACTAAGCATTATACTTTCTTGAGCTAGGTACACATATGACTTTGATAAAAATTAAAATTAAATGCCACTTAAAAAAAAAAAAACTCAGGTAGAAAGGGCGGGGGCGGCCCGGGAGGTCTCCTGCGGCGCACAGCCACAGCGGGCACAGAGAGGGAGCTGCACTGACCAGTTCTCAGGGCCACGGAGCGTTAACAGAGCTCGGGGCTGATCTTGGCCAGAATATGAGGCCTGAAGGAGGCGGGGTGAGGCTCCTGGGCTCCGTCATCCAGGGCGAGTGTCTTTAGGCGGCCTTGGTTTTAAACAGGAAACGTCGCACAAGGCTTGGGTGTGCACAGTGTGAAGTGAATCCCCGCTCCCAGCCCCGCCCGGCCAGCCTCGCGTCCCCTCCTGGGTGCACATGCACCCTGCAGTGGTGCACGCTCCCCCACCTGGACCCAGGGTGTTCCCACCTGGCAGCACATCTTGGTGAGTGAGAGAGAAGGAGGCTGGGAGGGGCCGGGACCTGAGAGGTGGGGGAGCCAGGAGGATGCTTGTAGGGGGGCTCCAGCAGGGGAGACCCAGAGACACCGGGGCGGGTTGCCGGGCCAATTTCCTCTCTGTGCGGCCACCCCCAGGCCCCGCTCAGACCCGAGGACAGCCACACCTAAGACTCTCCAAGCCGCCTCCCTAGATCAGCACCAGAGTCGTTCAGCTCTGAAAGGAGAACGCGTTTGAGCATTTTGTTGCAGCGTTTGTCCAAGCCCAAGTTTTCTGACGGATGCACAGAACTTCCGAATCCCAGCTTAACACTTTCAGATCCCTGGATGGTCTCGAGTCCGGATTGGAGCCCCTGCCATAACGCAGACCGGCAGTTTTGGGCGGCAGACAAGCAAGATGGCCCGAGTAGCCGCCTCCCTGGCCAATGTCTGCCATCCCTGCTGGGGTCGGGATTGGAGCTGCAGGCAGGGACGTGTTTAAAAACAAACTTTTCCACTGAAACATCATTTGGCTAGGGTGGCCAGATTTAGCAAATAAAAACATAGGACACCCAGTTAAATTTAAAATTTAGGCAAATGACGAATAATTTTTTGGTGCAAGAATATCCCGTGCAATATTTAGGATATAATGTTAGAAAACTATTCACTGGTCACCTGAAATTCTGATTTAACTGGTGTCCTGTGTTTTGTCTGGCATCCCGAATTTCCTGCCGACGACCCAGGAGCAGCTGGCCCTCTGAGCCCGAGGAGACACACTTGTCCCTGAGAAGCGTTTCGGTGCCCTTCCCAGCCCCACCCTGGCCGGTTTCTTCCACTGCCAGCCGCCCTGGTAGCTTTGGGCTCCTCTCTGGGTGGGGACGGTGACTCCTTGTCGGCACCACTGGCTAAAATTGGAGTGATGGACACACTGCGCTGTGCACATTGGCTGCACTGACCAGGTTCTAGGAAAGTCCTCAAGTCTTTTAATGTTCTTAGGACCTGGCCATTTGAGAGGGTCTGAGCTCAAACAGCATCACCACTGTGAATACCCTTTTGGCAAATGCTCGGGCACGTTCCAGACACGGCTCACGGGGTCCCCGGCCCCTGGGGCTGTACAGAGGCAGTGAGGGGATGCCTGGCACGTGTTGACAAGCCGCCATGCAAAATCATCAGAACAACAGACATTAGAACCCACAGTGACCGTTGCAACACCCTTTGCCAGAAACGAGTATTTTCATAGTATGAAACGTTAAACAGCATGAAACGGTCCCTCGTGTTGCTTTTGATCTGCACTTCTTCGCGAGCGAGGAGTACGGACAGCAAACCACCCCCGCCTTCTTCTGGAGAGTGGAGTGTCCATGTCTTATCACTCAGGCCTCCCCTGCACGGGGTGGGGCCGTGTGACCCAGCCCTGGACACAGGGAGTGACGCACCCCCACAGGCTGGCCCCTCAAAAGCCCCATGCCATCGTCCAGCTCCCTCTCCCCCATCTGCCGGGCAGACGCATGGAACACGGGCCCTGGAGCCAGACGGACAGACTGGGGCTGGCCCATCGCTGGGCTAGCTGGACTGCTGTCTCCCAGGTTCCCTTCTGCCAGTGGGTGAGTCAGGGCAGCTCTGGGAAAAGAGATCCAGGGGCGGAAGCAAGCAGCACCTCCCTCCAATTAGAGGGGAGAGACCCGCTCAGGGTGTTGGCAGGCTCGAGCCGGCCCCACTCCTCTCTGCTCGGTGCCCAAACCAGCACCCCCAAAGCCACCACCATCAACACAGGACGAGCACCAGACAGGGGCCACAGCACCCCCACTCCTGCCCCAAAAGCGGGTCCACAGCCCCCCTCGTTCCCGCCTGGTCTGCTGTTAGGCATGCCAGAACCTTCCTTCTTGGTGTCTCATGTTGTGGACCATCCGGCTCCTACAATCAACCCCTTACTCCACGTCACCCGCTGGGGAGTCACAGCTTCCCCCCAAAGCTGGCTGCTCCCCTGAGTCCCTGTGAGCCTGCGTGGAGCAGAGCCCTCCCATTGCGGCCTTGGGCCACGACGGAGCCTCCGGAGCCAGCTGACCCCGACTGATACACACATCTCCTGCCCACTGCTGCTACCAGGTCACCCTCCTGGGGGACACGTCCTGCTGGCATCCAGAGGTGAGACTTGGCGTGCCTTCTCAGTGGAGCCGTCACCCACGGTGGTGTCGGAGCCTTTGAGGGAAGATCCGAAGGGGACAGCAGCGGCATTTACTCAGTACACGCGCACAGGCAGACCTGCCTGGGCTGGATTTGTGGGGTAAGCTGGACCCACCCCAAAAGATGCTCAGAATCAGGTCACTCACCTGGGCACACGGAGGGTGTCCCTGGCTGTGGATCCAGGCCGCGGGGCCGACACCACTTCAGTGTCCCTGATGGGGTGTCCCCACGCCAGCACGGCGACCCAGAGCGGCCTCAGTAAACCCATCTTAAGCAGCTGGCATGGGTGGTCCCTGCCACACGGCCGTGCAGGGCGGCCGAAATGGCCACAAAGGGTCCTGACCAAAGGGAAAACGATGTTTGTTCCGGGACCTGTAGAACATCTGCCAGACGCCTGAGAACTCTCTCACTGTCGCTATAAATGTAGAGAGATGAAAAACGGCAAAACCAACGTTTATTAAGTACACTGGGACTTAAAAGATTAGAAATATGGAGAATTCAGGTGTTTTATCTCTTTGTAAAAAAACTTATCGAGAGAACCTAATTCTCTCTGCTGTCTTTCAGCAGAATTCTGGGTACAGACGACGCTGAAATTCAATATTTACTGAACACCGTGTGGCAGCCCAGACCGACGCCCGTGGAATCCGGCTGTTGACGGCGCTCTGCCAGCTTCACACGGAGCCGGCTGTTGGTGGAGAAGCTGGTGAAGGCGCAGGAACCAGAGATCATCTGTACACACAAAACTATTCCAAAATAAGAGGTTTTGAAGTCCAGTGTCCAGTGCTTTACTGAGGTGGATCAGCCCTATCGTGGGACCATGAGGGGGGCAGCTCTTCGCAGATCTCGCCTCCTGGACCTCACACCCCGAATAACCTCCTGGCTCACGTGTCCACCTCAGCGCAGCAGGAGAGACAAGCAGGCGGTGAAAACGGCCACCAGACAGAAGTCTGACGTTTGTCTGGGATCCGTGTGCAGAGGTAGACAAGGGGATCCAACTCAACCCACATTTGGTGTAGGTGCAAAATGCCTCAGTTTTTAATTTTTTTTAAAGATTCAGGTGGCTGACCCCCATCCCATGAGTCACCCTCATCACTCAGTCCAGGTAGGGGTTGGGGGATGAGCGGACTGTGGAATGATCCAGAAACCAGTAACTCTGGGCAAAGGGCAGGAACAGATAATTCAGAGAAGAGACTCTAAGAGGCTCTTACACTTGAGACACGGCTCCACCTCACACACACCAAGGGACCGCAGATCACAGAACTGGCCCATCATATCAGCAGAGACTGGGTGAGGTAGGGGAAGAGGTCCCGCACAGGTGGCTGGGAGGTGACAGGGATGATCGCCCTTTGACCCCACGTGCACCCTCTGGCAGTCGGTGCAGCCGGTGCCTCTGCACAGCGCACATCGATGGCGTGCCGGTGGTTCCTGCGTCTGGGAAACAACTCGGCCAGTGGAGGGGCCTGCTGACAGACCCGGGCCACCTACCAACTGCAGGGGCACCTGCCCAAGGCGGGGCAGGACCTGCCATGACACCCTCACGACCACGGGTGAAGGGCCTGGCCGCCAAGTGCTCCACTGTGAGGTCAGCAAGTCTTCTTTCAAACGGTTCTGACACAAGTGTCTACCTATGTGTATGGGAGAGAGAGTAAATATGGGGAAATACGGACACAGTGAATCAATTCTTGCAACTTTTCTATAAGTTTGAAAATGTTTAAAAACAGTTAAAAATACTGCTCTATAGAGAACAAGGGAGAGGGTGGACGGAGACAGGGTGGCAGTGAGAGCTCTCTTGTATCTCTTTGGTTTTACAACCATGTAATCATATTGTCTATTTTCTCAATATAATCACTTTCATAAGACTATGATAACAACAAGAACAAACAAGAGATTCCACGTCCTCCCAGGGCTTGTCACCACGACAAGGCAGCACAGAGCTGAGACATGAGACAGTGCTCCACAGGCACAGCACAGAGGAGCACGCAGGCACAGAGGAGGACGGGAGCACAGGGAGCATGGAGGGGCCCAGGGGAGCACGAGGACAGGGGAAGCAGGAGGAGGACAGGGAAGGACGGGCGCATGAGGGAGAATGAGGAGTATGGAGGAAGCAGAGGGAGCACAAGGGACACAGGGGGCATGAGGAGTGTGAGGGAGCATGGGGAGCTTGAGGAGCATGGGGCAGTATGAGGAGCACAAGAGAGCATAAAGACAGGAGGAGCACATAGAAGGATGGGAGCATGAGGGAGCACAGAGAGCAGGAGGGAGCATTACGGAGCACAGGCAGCATTAGCACCCCAAAGGCAGGAAGGCCTGAAAAGGGGCAAACTCGTTGTTGGGGTGCCCCCTACCACCTTGTGGAAGACCGTCTGGAGCCTCAACCAAAACAGTGGTGAGAGCACACAGCTCCCACCCCTCCCACCCATGCCCCTGGGGGTCACTCCTCTCACCACCACAGACGAGCAAGGACGTTGAGCACAGCGATGTCTGCAAAGGGAAAGCTGGAGACATGCTGAACGTCCCACAGCGAAGAACTAGTTTGATACATTACCACAGTCAAGGACTCACCATAACAAGTAAAATAATTTCTATAACAATAAGATTAAATTAAAATCAAGACAGTGCAGTATCGGTATAGGGATAGAGAAATAGACCAATGGAGCAGATAGAGGGTCCAGAAGTGGATTCACATTCATACAGTCAGTTGATTTTCAGCCAAGGTGCCAACGTGCATGAGCGGGAAAGGAAAGGAAAGCTGTGTCAGCGAGCGTGCTGGAACGAGTGGACGCCCACAGGGAAAAACGACCCTGACCCCCACTCCCCACACACCTAAAAATAACTGGAAACGAGTCACAGTCTTAACTGCAAACACTGCAACTACACAGCCTCTAAGGACACACAGGTCACAACGCTCATGCACTTGAGGCAGGCAGAGCTCCTTAGGCCATAAAGGGCACAAGCCACAGAAGAAAAACCCAGTAAACTGAACTTCATCAACACAAAAACCTGCTCTCAGGGGCTGGCCCAGTGGCTCAGCGGTTAAGTGTGCACGTTTCGCTTTGGGAGCCTGGGGTTCGCCGGTTTCGATCCCGGGTGCGGACATGGCAACGCTTCGCCATCCATGCTGTGGCAGGCGTCCCACGTATAAATGGGCACGGATGTTAGCTCAGGGCCAGCCTTCCTCAGCAAAAAGATGAGGATTGACAGCAGATGTTAGTTCAGGGCTAATCTTCCTCAAAAAAAAAAAACAAAACAAAAATCTGTGCTCATCAAAAGGCCCACTAGGAAAATGAAAACGCAAGCCACAGACTGGGAGGAAATATTTGTGATACATCTATCTGACCAAGGACTTGTTCCAGAATACATAAAGAATTCCTACAAATCAATAAGAAAAAGATAAATGATCAATAAAAAAATTTGAGGGAAAGACTAGACTGGGCACTTGACTAAGAAAAGTTACCTAAATGGACAGTGAGCCCATGGGGAGGTGCTTGACGCCACCTGTCACCAGGGAAATGCCAACTAAAGCCACAGCGGGATCTCCCCACGCCCCATTGGAATGGCCACAATGAAAAAGGCCGACAATACCGAGTGCCAGCAGGAAGTGGAGGGACAGAACTCTCACCGTACCAGGAAGCACGAAACCCTGCAACCGCTGGGCACTTCCTCCTGGAGGTGCACGTACCTCTGCCCTGTGACCCGGCAGTGCCGCTCCTAGGATCCCACCCAAGAAAAAAGAAACACCTGTCCACACAGAAAGCTGCGCACAGACGTCTGCAGCAGCCTTGTTCTTAACAACTCAAAACCGGTCAACCCACCTCCTCCCACTGGAGAACAAGCAAAGCTTGGTATGGCCATGACAAGGAACGTCGCTCAGCAGCAGAAAGAAGCGGACTGCTGTTGACCGATGACATGGGTGGCTCTCAAAGGAAGCGAGAAACCAAAGACAACACTCGACGAAGCTCAACTAGTTCAACTGGATGAAGCAGAGCCACGGAGCCAGGGCAGCGGTGACCTGTGCTCCGGGGCGGGCGTGTGAGCCTGCTCTGGTTGCCAGAGCAAAATACCACAGAAACAACAGAGTCTTATTTTCCCACAGCCCTGTTGGCTGGAGGTCTGAGATGAGGGTGCGGGCAGGGCTGGCTCCTCCTGCGGCCTCTCCTGGGCGTGCAGACGCCGTCTCCTGCCTGTGTCCTCACAGGTCGTCCCTGTGTGCCTGTCTGTGTCTATCCTCCTCTTCTTATGAGGACACAGTCGCACTGGATTCGAACCCACCCATATGACCTCTTGTTAACTTAATCACCCCTTTAAAGGTCTTTCTCCAAATACTGTCACATTTCGGGGGACTGGGAGTTAGGACTTCAACAGAGGAATCTCGGGGGGCACAGTTCAGCCCATCACACCCCCTAAGAATGTTCTCACTATTCTTGCCCATCAGCGAGGTGAGCTTGTGACCAGCATATAAGGCGAGGAACAACACGCCCGCAGAGCGGAACGGAAGAAATGGAAATGTCCACATCGGCAGATGACGTGACTGCCTGCAAAGAAAATCCCAAGAATCTACAAAAATACTCTGAGAACTGATAAGTGAGTCCAGCAGGTCAAGCATACAAGATCAATTCAAGACCGCTTGATTTTTTTATGCTGGAAATGAAGGTGCAGACACCAAAATTTAAAAAGACAATGCCATTTACACTAAAAAAAGCCCAACAAACAAACCTCAAACGTAAATCTAACAAAACATGTACCAAGCTCATGTGCTGAGAACTACAAAATGTTGATGAAAGAAATAAAAGCTCTAAAAAAAGACATACTGTGCCCATGGATTCATGATACAACACAGTAAAGATATCAGTTCCCCCCAAAATTATCCACAAGTTTAATGCAATTTCTATCAAAATCCCAGGAAGATTTTTTTTGTAGATATAGACAAGGTCACTCTAAAATCTACATGGACAAACACAGGCCATAGGGTCGCTAAAGCTACTTTGAGAAGGAAGGATAAAGTGGGCAGAGTCACTCCGTCAATATTAGGGCCCCCTCTGTGGCCACAGGGAAGAAGACAGTGTGGAGCTGGTGGGGGAGACACAGATCAGTGGGACAGAACGGAGAACCCAGAAAGAGACCCAGCAAGTACGGCCAACTGGTTCGTTTTTTTTAAAGATTTTATTTTTCCTTTTTCTCCCCAAAGCCCCCAGTACATAGTTGTGTATTTTTAGTCATGGGTCCTTCTAGTTGTGGCATGTGGGACACCACCTCAGCATGGCCTGATCTGTGGTGCCATGTCCGCACCCAGGATCCAAACGGGTGAAACCCTGGGCCGCTGAAGCAGAGCGCACGAACTTAACCACTCGGCCACAGGGCCAGCCCCGGCCAACTGGTTTTGACAAAGGCGCAAGAGCAACTCAGTGGAGAAGGACAGCCTTTAACAAGTGATGCTGGAGCGACAGCACATCCACAGATGAAACAGCGAGCCTCGAGCCAAAGCTCACGCCTCATCCAGGAATCAACTCCAGCGGATCACAGACTTAAATGTAAAACTAAATGAATTTTGGAAAAAAATAAGACAAAATCTTTGGGATCAGGACTGATCAAAGGGTTCTTAGACTTGACACCAAAAGCACGATCCATAAAAGGAAAAACTGTCAAACTGGAGTTCCTCAAAATTTCAAGCTTCTGCTCTGTGAAAGACCCTGTTAAGAGGACGAGATCACAAGCCACAGACCGGGAGAAAACGTTTGCAAACCACATGTCCAATAACAGACTAGTTTACAAAATA